CCCTCCAAAAAATAAATGAATTAAAGAGTTGATTCTTTGAAAGAATGAATAAAATTGATAAACCCCTAGCCAACCTTATCAAAAAAAGGAAGGAATGAACTCAGATTCATGCAATAAGGAATAAAAAGGATGAAATTACTACACATTCCACATAAATTCAAAAGATCATTAATACCTACTTTGAAAACTTTTACTCCCATAGAATAGAAAATTCAGGAGAAATAGACAGATTCCTAGATATATATGAATTACCAAGTGTGAGTCAAGAAGGTATCAAATTCCTGCATAACCCAGTATCTATTAATGAGATTGAAAACATGATTAAAAACCTACCGACAAAGAAAAGCCCAGGCCCTGATGAATTCACAGCAGAATTTTACAAGAAATTCAGAGAAGAGTTAGTACCAACACTTCTCAAACTTTTCAATGAAATTGAAAAAGAAGCAATTCTCCCTAACTCGTTTCTGGAGGCAAGCATCACACTGATACCAAAACCAGAGAAAGACCCAAAGAAGAAAGAGAACTACAGACCAATCTCCCTACTGAATACAGATGCAAAGAAACTCAATAAAATACTAGCAAATAGAATGCAGCAAATCATCATGAAAATCATACATCACAACTAAGTCAGATTCATTCCAGGAATGCAGGGTTGGTTAATATTAACAAATGTATAAATGTTTCATGCCATATCAATGGAGCCAAAGACAAAAACCACATGATCTTTCAATACATGCAGAAAAACCTTTGACAAAGTCCAACATGCACTCATGATAAAAACTCTACAGAAAATAGGAATAGATGGTCTTCACCTTAACCTGATCAAAGCCATCTATGACAAATCAACAGCCAACATCATTCTAAATGGACAAAAACTCAAAGCTTTTACTTCAAAATCAGGAAAAAGACATGGATGCCTGCTGTCACCACTACTATTCAATATAGTTCTGGAACCATTAGCCAGAGCAATTACACACGAGAGAGAAATAAAAGAAATAAGGA